CTGACCTGGAATTCACTATGTAGACCAAGTTGGCCTCGAACTGACAGAGATCCGACTGCCTCTGCCTCCCAAGTGCTGGGACTACAGGCGTGTGCCACCACACCTGGCTGTTGTGTAGATTTAATGAAATCCGATGAAGGCAGTTACCTACTAAGTCGTCTCCCCAGCCCTTAGTTTTATTTCTTGAACAATCAGAAGCATAGTATATGTGAAAATCAAGGAGTCTGTCTTAGAGATGTCTGGCAGAGTCTGGCATCTACTATATGCTCAGTAAATAGTAACTTTGAAGTTTATCTCTCAGCAGTGTCCTCGTATTCCCCCAAAGGGGTATTAGGTTCAGAAGTCTGATGAAGACAGCTATCCCATGCTGTATACCTTGTCTCAGGATATGCCTGCTTTTGTCAGATGGAGGGCTTCCCAAACCCCACTGTGTTTATGGAAACCCCCCTGAAAAACACCCTGGCTGGGGAAGTTGGTTCAATTCTGAGTCAAGACCACAGACTTGTGGTTTTCTGGTAAAGACACATGATCTGACCCACAGCTTGTCACCCAGGGTAGGAGTACTTGAGGCCTGAGGTCAGGAGGTGATTTGTTCAGGACATTGATCAAGAGTTCTAACCCAGGCCAGTGCCTTAAACCAGGGTTTCCCTATTGGTGAGCTGCAGATGGATGTGTACAGTGTGCATACTGATTTCCCTTCTTCCTAATGGCAGCTGAAATCCCTGACTGTTCCTTTTCTAGGTATGTGCCCTGATATGAAACACGTGCTGAAGTTGGGATTCTTGCTTGCTTCCCTGGTCCGTCAGCAATTTCCATTCTGTTAGACTGAGAAATTGGAGTTCTGATCAGCTATGGGAATTCCACTTTGTTAGTACAGGAATATGAGCTAGTCTCCAGTCTGACAGAAGCATGTGTTGGTCCCAACTTGATAGATTGCACCTCAGGTTCATTTGCCTAGAAAATAGTATTCTGACCAGCTCTGGACTTGCCTTAGGTAGAGAAGGAAGGCAGGAGGCAGAAGATTCTGAGGGATTGGAAAGGATAGCAGTCTGCCTCTGGCATGTTTACACTCATATTTTTCTCCTTGTTGACTTACTAAAGACTCAAAACTGATTCTAAAATGTCTGGTGCCAAAAGCCCTGTGGATCCCACAGGAAAAGTTCTCAGGCATGAGGGTGGGGTTGTGTGGCAGGGCTGTTGCTGCTGCAGCTCCTCTTCTCACATTTCTCTGGATGATGGACGATTTGGGCTTTCTTTAAGTGTCACAGCTAAACTGGCCTGGTGCTGTTGCCTGAGACTCATTGAAGGGGCCTCCTTTGACATAGAAGGGGGCTGGGGAAAGCTTGGACTAAATATCAGGTTCCAAATCATCATGGTGGAATTATGCCCACTAGTCCTTGGGCTTGTGGTGAATTAGTTCAGGCTGGAGTCAGATTTGAGAGGGAGAGAAAGTTCCTGAGAGCAGCTGGTCAGAAGAGCCACCTCACAGAGAAGACCCTAGGCCTCACTCCCCTTCCCTTGACCTTCAGCCCTCCTGTCTGCCCCCCATTCCTTGTTACTTTTCATTTTGTTTTCTCTGAGCACAATTGTGCAGTGTTGTGATATTTGATGTATAGCTACCTATCCTTTTTTTTGTTTCTGTTGTTTCATTAATTTCTTGGGCTAGTAATTATAAACATATGACCATGTTTGTACAATGGTCCATTAAGTGAATGTACCACTGTTGACTCAGCCACACCCCTGTTGTCTGCTTCTGTTTACTATTATAATCAATGCTGTGGTGAACATCTTCTACAAAGTCTTCAATTCTTAATGGTTTTCTTTAGGATAGAAACTTAAAGTTGAACTTGCTAGACTACAGGCTATAAATTGTTTGCTTTAAAATTTTATTTAGCCAGGTGTGGTGGCGCACGCCTTTGATCCCAGCACTCAGGAGGCAGAGGCAGAGGCAGATGATCTCTTGAGTTCAAGGCCAGCCTGGTCTACATAGTAAGTTCCAGGCCAGCTGGGGCTACAAGGAGATAGACTCTGTCTCAAAAACAAAATTGTATGTATTTTTTTTAAAAATATTTTATTGTGGGGCTGGACAGATGGCTCAGGTGTTAAGAGCACTGACTGCTCTTGCAGAGGACCTGGGTTTGATTCTCAGCACCCATATGGTGGCCACAGACCATCCTTAACTCCAGTTCCAGAGGAATCGAAGCCCTTTTCTGTTCTCCATGGCATTGCACGACACGGGTGCACTCGCATGCAGGCAATACACTCATACACATAAAATAAAAATAATAAAATATTA